TATATTTAGTTGAAGCCATAAAATTCTGTATTAAATAACCCATAGAAGTGTTGATATACCGCTAAACAAAATCAACCAACCAACCAACAATCAATTCCAACATTTATTGTTAGGACTGGGCATGCTGCGAACCACATTCATTCCCGCTGTATTCCAATTGTAGGGTGAAAATTTTACTAATACCCCCCTCCCCCGTGAACCGATTCTTTGTGGAACAAATTCCTGTGTGGGTACTTCCCCGAACGCTACAATATTAACCTCCTTATGTCAAAAGTCAATCGTTACATCTCTTCCATATCCACATAATTATCTCTTCCTACTTTTACATTCATATCACTCACCTCATTTAATAACACACTACCATGAGTGGCTCTTGTGCTTTGCATTGGATGAACCTTAGTAATAAATAAATGAATAAAATAAATATTGTTGCAAAAGAATGTGATAAACTTTCCAAATATAAAAATCTGGAAAAAGACATTACAAGGTGACATTTAAACACACCTTTTTTTTTTTTCAAGAAGATGGAGGGCTAGAAATGTTTAAGAAGAATACTGATAGTCACATGAAAAATCGCAGGAAAATAATCTTTGTCTGGAATACAAGAGGCTGTGCTGAGTACTGCTCACATACTTATAAAAATATCTTTGACTTCAATTATCTCAGTGATAACATCTTCAGAGAAACTTTCATTTACCTTAAGCCTCAGATTATGTCAACGATTGTAGGAAATAAAATAATAATAATAATAATAATAATAATAATAATAATAATAATAATAGCAACCAAGGAATTTGAAAAACTATCAAAATACAAAGACCTGGAAATTGAAATAGAAAAAATGTGGAAATTGAAAACAAGAATAATACCAGTGGTAAATTATAAAAATGGAACAAAACAACACATTGAAAGAATCCCTGGAAACCCCAGCTTAAGAGACATACAGAAAATTGTCTTATTGCACACACACTAAGGAGAACTTTGTCTATGTAACGCTAGCAACTTCACCGAAATTTACAACACACCACGACCTGTTAGGTTTTCCCGCAGACTTGGTGTGTGTCCATAGCAAAATCGAATGATGATGATAATAATAATAATAATAATAATTGGTTAAAAGAGTATCACCATTGGTTGAAAGCATTAGATTTACCAGTGTTTTTATGTGTTCTAGAAAGCCTGTTTAACTTGGTAAAGCACGAAAAATCAGGAAAATACTGCGGGATATATAAGTGCAAATCTCTTTATAGTATCCAATAAACTTTGCAAAAATACAAATATTTTTACTACTACTACTAGTATTACTACTACTACTACTACTACTACTAATAATAATAATAATAATAATAACTAATTTTAACCTGTGAAAATTTCGTGATTTTCTTATTTTAAATTTCTGATGAATCTCAATTCTCCAGCTAATGATTAAGTTCATGGCGAATTCTATGACAATAAAATATCCATAGAAACTCCCCTATCGCATCGTTATTTGATCTTTAGAACTTTAACAAGATATTGCAATAAGAATCCTAAATACGTTATTACAAGAATTAAGGAGGTAAAAATGAAAAGATTTGAAAGTGACAACTTTTTTCCATTTCATTGAAACAGGCGTTAAACCCTTCTAACTTCCCTTCTTTCATTTTCTCACTCAAACCAAGTAGCGTCTTTTGAATTTTCACGCGATCAAAACGAAATAGTCCGTTATTTATGAGGTATTAACAGAAAGCATTAACCACTTCTATAGTTCTTTCTTTTTCTTTCTTTTTTCACTGAAACCAAGTAGCGTCTCTGATAAATCGTTTGTCTTTCCACGCGATCAAAACGGAATAGTACATTATTTATGAGGTATTGGCAGAGAGCAGCGGCCGTGCAAACTAACGAACAGAGAGAAGAGCACAATTATTATATGTTAATAATAATATCAGTAATAATAGATCTACTCAATAAAGAGACAGAAAATACACCGACAAAATCACTGGCAACATCAAGATAGAAGAAATAAAGCAGATCGTCTTCTTCAGCACTGGTCGTATATTAAGTTCATCATATAAAAGGATCGCAGCCTCATGGTAGTCCAAGGGAATGGGCTCGGCTCTATGAATAAACAAAGCAGGGCATTAACGAAAAAAGTCTGATTTGTAACAATAATATTTATCGCGACTATTAAATTGAAATAGTAACGACAATAATAATACAAGATATTGTCCTATCCTGTGGGCACTCCCAAAGTTTTTAAAAACATCTGGAAAAAATGCTTAACCAGCGTGGTTGTAAAACTGATTCAGGATATAAATGGAGGTTAAAGCATCGAAAAATATGATGACTAGGATCAAAGTGTAGTATCGGTTCCAGCAGCTGAAAGACAGCCTACCGCTCAAGCCATCGGCTGTAGTTCTAGCTCGCCATCGGCCGCCGCTCCAGCCATCCTCGCCAACAGCAACGATATACAATATACTGTCCTTTTTCAGGACAACACTCTTCATCGACTTTCTAAACTGTCCTTCTCAGAACAACGCGCTTCTCACTTTTTACGTGAACAGACAGAGATATTATTTGCCTAGTGCATTGTAACCTTATTTTTGTTGATGTATTTTTTTTAACGAAAATAAACTTGGCAATATTTTTTTTACTCAAGTCTTCGTTTTGTTTTTTGTTGTCTTCCATAATTCAATATCTGCGGCCCAATATATCACCCGCAACAATATGAAGCAAGAATTTCCCTAATCACTAAAATAAAGAAAAAATAACTAAAACAGTTTAGATATTTAAGGGAACTCGTTGGTTATTTATTGTCACTAAGTTTTCAGTCATCAGATATTTACTGTAAACATGCAAATATCATAAATATAACAGAAATCCGAAGGTGTATTAAAAGAGTGAAAGATGCCTTTCAAAAACTAAACACTACATTAAGAAAGGTGAAATTTTTGTTTGAAGCAATCAACAGAATGCTTAACTGCTTTTCTAATATCATTACTTCTGGAGGACAGGGAATGCTGAATAATTTCCTTGCAGATCAAGAGGAGACATGAGTTTCAACAGTTGAAAGCTGAGAATATCATGGGCGGAACATGTGACCAACGAGGCAGTTTTAAGGCAGCGATGGGCAACCTTTTTAGAATAGTGGGTCCCATGAGACAGTTCATCATGAGGTGGGCCACGCCTTCTAAAACAATCTAGGCAATTTTTCTCTAAAGATACCACAGAAAGTTTTACAACAAAAGACCATGGACATAAGCATAATGGGGAAAAGTCTATTTTATTTTCTTTAAAGAAAAGATTCCTTCTATAATTAACAAAAAACCCTGCAGTCTTTATAATATTATCATTGATGACAGAGTGATTAACACAAGCTGTTGTGTGTGATTTGTTTCTAATTTATTGATTTCACAATGCAAAATCATTTTTGAAAAGAAGTATATTTATTTCCTAGAGAAAAAATAATTATCATTAATGTTTCCTGTTTCTGAAGCAAAAGATGTTTACACTTATGAACTTCCTTAGTGAAACTCGCCAAAGATTTAAAATGCTGACAACGATACCTTCAACAGGAAGTTGCAAAATTCAAGAAACATTGTACTTAATCATTGTTTATGTATGTGGTTATGTATGAGAGAGTGTGTGAGTGAACAAGTGAGAATGAAAAGAAAGAACATTTCAATAAGCGTTATTTCCCTCATGAAATTACACGGACCATTCAGAATGCCAATCGGGTCGCATGCGGCCCGTGGGTCGCAGTTTGCCCATAACTGTTTTAAGGAAACTTTAAGCAACGAAATGGACCCTTGGGCTTAAGTTAAAATTTCGGGGACACGTAATGAAGAAAGAGAGCTTGTTGAATTTAGCACACACGCGATATGTTGACAGCAAGGGGGTAGAAGGAAACAGGGACTGGGAGGGATATTAATGGGACAAACATTGTTTAGAACTAGAAAGGATAAGGAGTTGTGGAGTGATCACTCTCGTCCTGAAGACACGGCATATAAGTGGTAAGTCCAACACTGTCACCATCGTTACCAAAGACTTGTTTCTACACCTGCCTCACTTTATTTAATATTAATAAATAGAAGTGCTAATGTGATTTATTTTATTTGTACTCAGATCAATATTTGATCTATCGGGGACTCGACTGGGAATACTTATCGAAAGGAAGGAGGTTTCGACTTTCAAATATGAAGTTTATTTGGTTTCAAGTTTAACACAAGGCCTAAAATTGAACAGCATTTTTGGAACTCACTACCTTCCCACCAACCCATATCTATCCCAATGCATTTTTATTTATAAAACAAATTCAATGTAAAAATAGAAGAATTATTTTAAAAATCGCTCACATTAAATATATTATTGTGGAACTCTCTTCAGGCTTCATGCTTTCTAGCCAACTTTAATCTTCAAATGCAATGTCAATCGTTATCTACTCACCCGATTACTCTTTCCTCTTCTTGGTCATTATTAATGTTTCTGTTCCTAATTCTACCCCCCCCCCCGTAACCACTTGTGTCTTAGTGGCTTTACTACCTTGTATGGGGTGATACCGATTTAAAAAATAATAACATATGAGAAAAGTGAATGTTGTTTGTGTGGGGTTGTATTTCAATATATCGGGTTTTTTTTTACCAAATACTAGTATCGGCAAGGTGAAATTATTTTCTTTAATCTCCACTCACATAACCTTATTTCTTAAGACGCGACGATTATTTTCCCAACAATTTTCTCTGCAGCACGATTATTTTCTTCCGGGAAAAATTGATTGGCTGATTCGTTTTCTACGGCTTATCAACTCTTTGAAGATTATTTAAAGCCAGAAAATATTTTTAGATTGTAAGACTTTTTTTAGATAATAATGGTTTAGTTTTACAAGTCTCACTAATTAATTCATATCTGGGGGAGAAGAGATGGATTCATACCTTTCCCAAGTAGGTAAATATAAAAAAACAACAGAAATGTAAGTTAACAATTTCAGGTCATCGTCCATTACTCCACCTGCACATTCAAGCTTACAGGACCTCGTATTATCAGGTGGTCACCTATCTAGGTACTGACCAGGCTCGGCGTTGCTTAACTTCGGTGATCGTAGGAGAACCGGTGTTTTAACGTGATGTTTCAGGATGACGACTCTTGTATTTAGTACAAAACAGTAGCACATAATTTGAAATACAGTGAAGCCTTGCAGTTTATTGAGCTTCGATAAAGGAAATTCGAATAGACATGAACAATTGTTAATGAAAAGTGTTTTTTTGTTTTTTTCAAATTGTTCTGTACATAAATGCATTTCTGGCGCGAAATTACAGTAACGGTTAGGTTCATATTTAAGAATTCCAGATGATGAAAGTAAAAATTAAAATGCCGTTCAAATAATTCTCTGATTTCAGTACGACCTTACATGGCAATTATTTCAACGTTAAAAAACATTTCGTTATATTACTTTTTTTATATGCCATTATTCACCAAGACCGAAGAGCCACTCAAGGTAGAGGGTTACTAAATGAGGTAGTTGTAAACGTGTAAAGGGAGTATATATTATAAGGATATGTAGAACAGATAACGATTGAACCTAGACTTGAAGAGGGTAACATTGTAGCGATCGAAGAAGTATCCTGTCTGGAGCCTGCTCCACAAAGTGACGATGTTAAATAATAGTTTCAGACCATTATTTTGTAAAGGCAGTGTATTTTGGCTCAGACCTTCTGAGGCTGACCTTTAAGGTCAGATGGTAAACAAAATAGGGATGTCGATTTTGACTGGCTGAGCCGAACGTGGGAATCTCAGAGAGATAGAAAGTGATTTCAATGAGTTAAGTTTTACCTGTCATACAAAATAGACGTTGTTATTTCGTGTCTCGGGCAACTTGTTCCCCAGTGGAGGTGATAGAGCGCCCCCAGTAGCTAGTTAAATATGTACACGTCGATATGTTTAATAAAGCAGTGAGTTAAAATCCTTTTTGTTGAGGTTCTCATTTTACCTCCGAACAAAAAAACCAACTAGAGATCACCCGGCTGAGAGAAGAAAGAGAGGAAAACAACTTTATTATGATCGCCTCCAGACCGTCAAGCAAAAGACCTCCCCCAGAAGAGGGGGAGTATACAACAACGATTTTGAGGAAGAAGCTGTCCAAGTGGAACATTCACCCTACCAATGGAATACGAAAAGAATGAGTATATGTTGGTATGGCGGGTCCTAGCCGTGAAGAACTGAACTGGTGGAATTGGGTTTTCACATCGACAATCAATCTCCAGCATTCGCCTTAGTAATTACCATTTATATTCTTCTTATAACTGCATATAAAAATGTAATGTCGCAGGGATTTTTTTTTCTTGTGGGTGGGGAGAGATAATGAATATCGAGTAATAATCACATACAAAGGGTTTCTGGTCTGACAGTCATATCACGTTGAAATACCGGTTCCGGTGCGATCACCGAAGTTAAGCAACGTCGAGCCTAGCCAGTACCTAGATGGATGTGCGGGTGATGAAATGGCCTTACACGCAAGCCACCAATCTGCTACTGGGTGACATGCCACTAGCGTTTACCGGCGTGTTCCTATCGACAATGCTATCACTGGTGGACAGCTAGAGGCCCACTGGTGGCCCGCCGGTAGCTTCCACCAGAGTACAGCTGGTGTTGCCATCGGCGACCCGCCATCGGGTCACTAACGGCTTGCGTGTAGGTGGGGCTAATGGCTTGGAATTGTTAATCGGAGAGGCGAGATCCAATTCCAGTTGGATTCGTTATATTCACTTACGCGCAAATACCCTTGGGGAAAGATATGAATCCACCATTTCTCTTCCAGATATGGATTAATTATTAAGACGTGTATCACTAAACTATTATCATCTCTCCCCTCAAATATTCTTACAATCATTATTTTCTGGATTTAAATAACCAGCAACAGGTGGATAGCCCATAAAAAAATGAATTAATCAAGGAAACAAATAGTTGCTGAAACGTCTTTGGCTCCATTTATTTCCCCAAATCTGATCAAATAAGTTTATTTTTGAAGGGCTTTTTGGTAGGACCCAGAAATTCTCTCCACCCCTCATAAATTATTCTGTTTATAAAGCCATCAAGCTATAGAAAAGTTTATTGTTGCATCGAAGATTGATTTCAAGTGAATATTACTTGTAGCCCATAAGTACAGAAAATTATTGGATCGAAGTCCTTTTACACCCCACACACACACACATACACACATATGCATGCATACATACAAACATACATAGAGAAAGAAAATTAATGGAATTTTATAAAATTTTTAATCCGACATTAATTCAGGTTCGAATTGTGCCGGGGGTGGACATTCAGATCAATACCCAGCGGCAGTCGGCTTCATGCTTAAACATAATCGTCATGGCCTTTACATACACTCTATACGAACTTGGATCGATAGGTTCATAGCTTGATATACAATTATAGCTGAACTGTGATCTGAAATTTACCCTGTATTTTTTAAGATATGTTATTAAAATTGACCATTACATTGACAAGAAACAAGATTATGATCAAAATAATAGAACTTGTGCATATATTTTTATTTTATGTCATTAGGCTATAGATTTAATGTACCACCTACATACATACATAAATGCATATATACATACATACACACTTACATACATATATATAATTTCTTTATTAAGACAAAAAAATGCACAGGTCAGTTGATGTAAATTTACACTGATTAAAAATAGAGATGTCTACTCAATCACACGTATCCACGAGTTATAACGTTTAAAGTCATAAGAATATATAAGAAATATATATATATATATATATATATATATATAAGAAATAAATAAATAAATATATATATATATATATATATATATATATATATATATAATAAATAAATAAATATATATATATATATATATATATATATATATATATATATATATATGAGAGAGGGAGAGAGAAAGATGTGGACACAGGAATGAATACTATATCAGTTTCAAGCCTCAATGCGATCATTAGGCCAATATATATATATATATATATATATATATATATATATATATATATATATATATATATATATATATACGAATGGATAGATATATAAATTGATAGCTGTATGTACATTCCTGGATAAATGCAAGAAAATTCCAATAATTAAAATGCTTGTTCAGAATTGCTCAAATGATACACGTTTATATGAAATGGAAACTCTTTTCCGACGTCATTTTATAGCAGAAGAAATCTGTATTACCTTAAAAATTTCTATTTTTCAACTTGGCAATGAGGCTCATTTTTCTTTTATTAAAGGATATGACTATCATTGGGGTGGGGCTATATGTATATTTTATTTTAGAGTCCCATACAAAACTGTATCTAAAACGGTCAGTCTTTCTCTCGTAATCTCTCCAATACCAAAAGTGATGTAATTAACACTCGCAGGACCCCGCAGCTACATCTTTCACGGTAGGATAGCACCTGTGTATTACACAGTGAAATTGTAGTTTGAGGATCTTAGCAGTAACAGTAACAGTAGCAGCATTAGCACAATAGACTCATTGGTTTGATGCATTCTCTATTATTCTAAATAACTGAAAAGTAGAATTACTATTCGACAATGAGGAGGAATTTTGGGGCTTCGTTGGCGCTACTTAATCCTCAAACAAAAATAAACGCAGTAGTTCTTCGTTTAGTGATTGGCGGTTTAAAATCATCAGCGAATTGCACGGTGACGACTGGTTGTTGTTCTCTTCCTCAAGCGGTCTCTTCTCTGTGGACAGTGGTCTACTGTTCTGCGTTTAGCCGCCAACTACCACCAACTTAGTAAGCACGAGGTTTTTATCTTCTTCGAAGGTTATATTATACTCTCCCCCTCGCTTTCTCTCTCTCTCTCTCTCCATTCCTTTCTCTCCGTTGCACTCCATTCTTACTTACAGTTTAGCAGCAAGCAAGACCACACGTTTTAATAGTAAAACTGTCGACTCGCTTGTTCAGTTTGCCTGCCTGCTTGCTTGCTTGCTGTACGTTCTATTGTAGTGTATGTGCTACCCTTTCTGTTGAAACGTCCCAATTATATTTGACAAATAATTTTTCTCTCTTCTTTTTCTTCTCTTTCTCTCTCGTTATTTTTTCCATATCTTACTTACACTACTTGACTTTCTCTCATTCATTCAATCATTTTCCCCCTTCTTTCTTCATTTCTTTCTTTATTTAAACTCTTCCCTCTTTGCTCACGCATAAACGCTTGCGTCCTTTTTTACGGACTCTTCCCAAAAAGGACAGACAACTATATTTCCCCCTTTTCAACATAGGAACTTGTTTTAGAACATAAAGCACGAAAAAAAACAGCACAAACGGCAAATATATTTTTTTTTTAAAAAAAAAAAAGGAAGAAAAACGTGACAAGGATTTGTTTTCTTTTTAAAGGAGAAAAGATTTCTCTGACAGATACAACGAAAAAAAAATATATATAACCAGCATTTGAAACGTTTTCATAATTTAATATTAATAAATAAAACGGGACACTGATTAATTTTGCTAGCATCCGTTTATTTTCCTGAGAAGTGTATACCAAAACGTCCCAAATGGCATTTATTTTTCAAAGGACTAAACCTGGCACTAGCAGACAATTCAGGAGGATGTTACTGGTCGCTAATGTTCTCCTATTTTTTATTGTCCAAGAGGCATCATGCCGAGCGTGGGGAGGATCGAAGTCAAAACGACAGATATGTGGATACGAGGTAAGTAAAAATATGTATTCTATTTTTAAAATTTTTATTTTGTTTCGTAAAAATCCCTTAAAAAATAATTAAATAAAATAATAGTATTTTTAATTAACTGTTGTTTTTGAAAAAGCAACATGCTTTGACCGCGGGAGTAGATTTGTTTTTTGTTTTTTTTACATGTTTTATTGTTGTTTGTTTGTGTTAGTGAGTCGTATCATTTCCAGTTGTAGACTAATGTTTATACACAAGTAAGATTTTTGTAATGGTTCAAATCCGGTTTGAAAACAAAGGTGGTTCGTTTTTGTGTGTAAAATTGGTCTCCAGGGTAGAAATTTTCATTATGCCATGTTTATTTGCTTTTATTGACTCAACATAATAACAGCAATCTGAAGAAATCCATTGCCCAGGGTTTCGTATT